GGCGGAGAAAACACCCGCCTGCGCCGCCTGTACCCACCCTAGGGAAGCGGCGGTGGTAGCTCAGGAAACCAACAAACAGGAATTAATCAAATCAGTCTGGTTTCAAGGGCAACATAAAAAGGAAAACATGCCTATGCTGAAGGGAGGTCTTTTGTTTCTTGGTAAGAGAAAGCCACTAGCTTGAGCATTTATTCTTTTCTCGTGGTTGATACCAAGGACTTGGTCCCTACGTTGGGTCTAGGTGGGTTGAGCTCTGCCCATGAGGATCTGATTGCGAGGTCGTGTTTTGTGCATGTTGCTGTGTTGGTGTTTCAGAGAAAATCTCTAAAAAATGAGGCTGTTTTGCACAACTGCTACAATTCCTATGAGATTTTTGAGTTATTTATTGTTTGCTGCTGTGAAATTTTCCCTTCTCTGCCTGTTCTCTCTGCCCCTTTCTCAGCAAGTCTGTCTGGGATCCCCCCACCTGTTACTTTGGGGGAATTAAGATGATTTTCGTGTTGGGATTGGTAGGCAGTTTGGGATGGAAGATGCAGTTCCATGCAGAATGCATTTAAATAGGAAAATCTCTTTTGTTTCCCCCCTGTCCACAGCTCCTGGGTGCAGGAGCAGATTTCCCTCCGTGTTGGTGCCGCTGCTGCTGCTCTGAGGGTTTGACCAGCCCGAGGGACTCCCGAGCGGAGCCGGCGGATCCCAGGCAGGCGACGATCCCGGGAAGCGCCATGAAGATCCTGGTAGCCAAAGTGCTGTGTCTGCTGGGCGTCTGCGTGCTCATGCTGCTCGGGTCCCTCCTGCCCGTCAAGATCATCGAGGCGGATTACGAGAAAGCTCATCGCTCCAGGAGGGTCATTGCCCTCTGCAATTCCTTCGGAGGAGGGGTTTTCCTGGCCACCTGCTTCAACGCCTTGCTGCCCGCTGTGAGAGACAAGGTAACGGCTGCCTCGTGCCCGAACGGGGGACCGGGGCAGCCACCCTGCGCTCGCTGCCCTCCCGGAGTGGGAGTGCAGGTCACCAGCACGTAGGTTCCGTGTCTTTAGTGCTCAGACACGTGTGTGGGGGTATTGAGCATCCTGAATCCCGTCAGTGTCCTCAGAGTGCTGGAAACATAGCAATAGTTCACATTTCCATCGTGCAAGAGCCCAGGTTTGCCCTCCTAGGTACCAGCCTTTGGAGGCTTTTTTCCTGAAATGGATTTTGTAGGAAAATACCAGGGCGTCCTGGCAGCTCCCCATGTCCCTTTAGCAGATGAAAGGTGATTTCCATCACTGACGACTGTTTCTGTTTCCTTTATTCCAGCTCAGTGACGTTCTCAGTCAGGGGAATGTGACCACGGACTACCCCGTGGCCGAGACCATCATGATGGTTGGCTTCTTCATGACGGTCTTCATTGAGCAGCTCGTCCTGACCTTCCAGAAGGAAAAACCCTCCTTCATCGACCTGGAGACCTTCAACGCCGGCTCGGATGTCGGGAGCGACTCCGAGTACGAGAGCCCCTTCCTGGCGTCCTCCCGCGGGCGCGCGCTGTGCGGCCAGCAGGGCCACCAGCCCCACGGCCACGGCCTGAGCGTGCGGGAGCTGTCGCGGGCCGGTCCCCTGCGGCTCTTCAGCCTCGTGTTCGCCCTGTCCGCGCACTCCATCTTCGAGGGCCTGGCCCTGGGCTTGCAGGAGGAAGGGGGCAAAGTCGTGAGCTTGTTCCTGGGCGTCGCTGTGCACGAGACGCTCGTGGCCGTGGCGCTGGGGATCAGCATGGCCAAGAGCTCATTGACAATGAGGGACGCTGCCAAGGTCGCCGTGACCGTGAGCCTCATGATTCCCCTGGGCATCAGCATCGGGATGGGCATCGAGAGCGCCCAGAACGTGGCCAGCAATGTCGCTTCAGTGCTGCTGCAGGGCATCGCAGGGGGCACCTTCCTGTTCGTCACCTTCTTTGAGATCCTTGCGAAGGAGCTGGAAGACAAGAGCGATCGGCTCCTGAAGGTCCTTTTCCTGGTGCTGGGCTACACGGCCCTGGCCGGGCTGGTCTTCTTCAAATGGTGAGCGCAGAAGTGATGGAAAGGAAACCTTTCCTCGTCCCCTTGCGAACGGCGCCAGCCACGAGCCCGCTCTGCGGCCCAGGGGCGGCACCCAAGGCCAGGAGCCCCGTGAACCGTCGCAGTGCGGGCAGCGTCTCAGCATCCACCTGAAGGAGGAGCAGCATTTGCTGCGGACGTGGAGGGAGATGAAGATGAGGAGGGTCGCAGTGTAGATGTCACAACGTACTGTCCCTGCCCGCTGCTTCTCCGGGTCAGCAGCTCGTGCAGAGAGCACTGGACACGAACATTAAGTGTCTGGGTCTAACACTGAGAGCCTGTCAAGGTTGTATTCCCTATGGATGCGCACATCCAGCCCTTCCCTTCCTCCCCGCACACCCTGGTCGCGAGTCTGCTTCCTTCAGCCTCAGGTTCTGAGAAGGTGAGGGTCAGTAACACAGAAATAAAGTCGAAAGCAGGTGGGGTAATGAGTCGCCCAGCTGCTCTAAGCTGCTTTCGTTAGCTTAGTTTTGAGCAAAACAGCTCCAGCGGGGCTAGAGCCTTGCAGGACGCTTTGTCCTTTGGGGTTTTCCAAGGAGGAGGGGGATCCCTTCCCTGCGGGTTCGCGGGCAGGGAGTGGGGAAGGGCTGATCAGAGGCTGTTTAATCATCCCGGCTTCCTTGCTCTCCCTCCGGGAGCCCCCGGCGGCGACGGATCCCCGCTGAGATCCCAGGTCCTCCCAGGTGAGACGCTCCCATCAAAGGCTGCAGCAGGAACGTGCCGGGAGCGTTGGGAACGGCGGCTCCGTGCGTCCCCGCTCCGCACAGGCCGCCGCACGTGCGTTTTAATTGGGCGAAGCCTTCAGCCCTGCAGGGCTTCCCCAGGCAAATCCGAGCTCTTGGAAGCATCCTGGGATGACGGTGGTTGCGGGACACCCTGAGCCGCCCTGCAGGCGCCGTCGGGATGAACCCAGGGGCAGGGAATATGGGGGAGATGCAGGAGGCAACAGCTGGGAGCCCGTGATGGCACAGCTGGATCATCCGTGGCTTTCTGGTGATCAGTACTTTAATTATTGCAGCACACGGGAGCCAATTCCTCTCGCTTGGAAAAACCTGGCGTGGGGAGGGGAGAGGGAGGGTTATTTTGGGCACAGATGACACAAATTGGCCAGCCCTGCTGAGACTGGCCGCGCTCAACGGGCGCCAGGCGCGTGCAGGATGGCGCTGGATCCCGGTGCTGGATCCCGGCCCTGCCCGCTGCCCCGGGTGGCCTTTGTCACAGGCGGGGACACGTGGGGAAAGGCCGGGGAGCCGCAGGGGACGGGGGCATCACCGCGCACCCCCGGGAAGGGCCTCGTCTGGAGAAACCTCCCAGCTCCCTGCACGCGAAACCATCCGTCCTGCTCGTCCAGCC